ATCTTATATTTTAATCTTAAAATTTAATTTTATTTATCATTATTCAATTGAAAAAGGTTTATGTAGAGACTGCAAAATTTAAACCCCATCTGCTAATGAAAACCAACCCCAATGAAAAAGAGAAAAAGTTTGTAAGACATCATTTTTTTTTTTGTTCAATAACTCAAACGTTGAACCCATAGGAGAAAACAACATTAGAAAATTTAATTTACATATTTCCTGTTCTCACCCCCCCTCCCCTCTCTCTTCTTTTTTGTAATTAATAATTGTTTTTTTCCAAGAACACACTTTAACTGACTGCTCTATATGATACTGGTAAAAATTAGTAGTAATTTCCCCTTTGTTAATTTAGTGGCTTCCACGGTCAATCATTTCTTTGTACTGATTAAGCGATTCCTGCCTCTGCAACCTCATCTCTGGCAAAAGGTACCCGTTTACCCTTAAACTTTTTGAATTTGAGGTGTTTTATCCTTCATATTACAATACATGGTTTTTTACCCTTCATGTTTTCGAGTTTGAAGAAATGAGGTAAAATTTAACAACGAACGGTCACGTGTAGCATGTGCACCGTTCGCCTCCGTTATATATGCACATGTAAGCTTCAACTCACCTTTTTTGACAAGTCGGCAAGTCCAACTTGAAACCCATGAGCCGGAATTCTACCTGCTACCAATTTTATTTGTGAGTCTCATCGCTGACTAAAGGTTTGAAAAAAAAAGAAAAAGAAGACAGATGAATGCAAAGAACCCAGGCATATTGCTAAACTTAGATGAAATTTCATTCCATAACCATTTGAGTGTTTCGATGATTTTACACATATTTACTCAAGCAATCCTGCTCGTCACTGGATAAATACACCAAAATTAATTGAGAAGCTGAAGCTGGAAGAATCGAAAATGACCTTGGCTCTATCTTCATCTTTCTGTGTTTCCCAAATCAGCTTCCCGTACAAAGACAACACCTCCCCGTCACTGGGACTTGCCAATATCGCTCTACCGTAGTACTCCTCTGCTTTCTCTACGTCATTCTCTACCTTTAGAACCAAACAAGAACACGAGTCAGATTAATTGAAATCGCTCAATAGATTGATCAAGAGCAAAAGAAGTAGGTGAAATCTTGAACTTACCTCATGCAAGTACTTTCCATAGTTTCTCAACAGAAGTGAATGATCGGGATTTAGCGTCAACATTTCTTTATAATAGTTGCCGATTTTGCTCCTATCACCAAATCCATCGTCCCCGCAATTGTCGCTAGGTTTCCCTTGATCGTTGCCAGATCTTCCAATTCTGTTTCCGGAAAATCCAAACTCCTTAATTGGAATTCGGTAATCCGGCCGAATTGGAGCGTAACTTGGCCAATCACCAGCCGTGCTCATGAGTGATAGAAAGTCGTCCCCCTCAACATCGGCCACGTGTTCTTCCTCTGGTATTTCTGATTTGGAACATCGAGATCTTCCGGTACTCTCAGGTTGGAAGACATCAGTCTCCTTCAACATCGCTCGCCTTATAAGCACGTGATCTCTTCGGCCATTCGTTTCTAGATGGAGCGAGTTTTTTGAAGAACTAGAGTTTTTCTCGCCGAAGAAAACTCCAATATCGTGACTAGAAAGATGTACCTTCAGAGATCCGAGAAGCGCCGGTGAATTATTCTAATTGGAATCTGAAAACGACCGGAAAGAATCGAAAAGAAAAAAACAAGTTTGAAGGAAGGAAGAAGCAATCAGATTATCAGAGTTGAAGATAGCAGGAGGAGGAGATTGGAGAAACTGGACAACTTTGGGTTACTTTTTCTTCACCTCTCTGAAAGAAAAAAAAAAAAAAAAAAGCTCCGACTTTTGGGTTCTAACAAACATTTTTCTCTTTGGGTGTTGGTAGAAAGCATATATTGAAGCAAAATGAAGGTTGTAAGTTGGGCCGCCCCACGGACCAACGAAGAATCCAAGACTCTTCCTATCATCTACCTGTACTGCTCCTACCACCATCTTTTTCTTCATTTGTCCTTTGTTGGGGTTCCAAAAGGACCCAGGCGTGGGTTTCATCCAACCCAACGCTTGGGTTCCAAAAATCAGTTGCATTCATCTGACTTTTTTTTTTTTTTTTCAAATTAGAAGTCAACAAGTGGGTTCCACAAGTTGCCAACATGTAAAAAAAATTTAAATTGATGCTGACATGTGCATGCATAACGGAAGCGAATGGTGCACGTACTACACGTGACCGTCCGCTGTTAAATTTTGCTTCATTTTTTCAAACTCGAAAACATAAAAAGTAAAAAACTATGTATTATAATATGAAAGGTAGAAAGCCTCAAATTCGAAAAGTTTAAGGGTAAACGGGTACCTTTTGCCCCTCATTTCCTCGTTAAACTTCTTTATAAATGCCTCCACCCACCGAATGCCTCCACTCACCGATTCAACTCGTCCCGATTCAGTACTGAAGCCGGGCAGGAGCTCACTTGCGCAGGTGACAGCTGGAAATTGGTCCGGTCCTTGAACGTTTTCGATTTCTTCACCACCGGCGACGGCTCAGCCAGCGGATCCACGTTCATCTGATCCTCCCTTGTGTCCTTAAACGTCTCTGATTTCTTCAGGTGCCTCGACAACGGCATTGCCTTCTTCTCCGTAATCACTTCCCCCGTGCTCTCCAGTCTCCACTGTCTCGTTCCGTTTCGGCTTCTCGACTCTTAGCTATCGTCCACCTAGTTAACAACAAATAGAATATACCGAAAGAATTATTAACAAAATTACCATTTTGTCAATCTTGATTCTGAAATTTAAACATGCAGGGGACAGATATTTTGGACTTTCGAGCTGTGCGTCAAGCAGACGCCATTGCTATATGTTTTGAGCAAGAAAATAACGTTTCTTATGAAGAATACAAAAATCAAAAACCCCACCAGAGAAATCTCGCCGACGCCGACCGAAAAGCATGTTGAGTGCCTTTTTTTTTTTCTTTCAAAATTTGAAAATCGAAACTTAGAAATGAGAGGAGATCAACTGATCAAGATCAGGCCATTACAATTATTTCTAAAAATAAAATTAGACAGAAAAGATTAATACCTTCTGGACTGGCTTTATTGACAAGTTTCCGGTGGCCGAACTTGGCAGAAACCAGAGGTTCTCCACGGGTAAGAGAATCTCCACTGGAATCTCCGACGAATTCATCCTGCTCAGTAGATTCCACTCGGATTTCGAGGTCACCAACTCATCTCCATTAAGAGCTTCAACCACCACATTCTTATCCTCCACAAAATCACCAACCTCCACCGCTTCTCTCTGCTTCTGCTTAAACACCACAACGCTCTGCTCCACCACACCGAAATCCGATCTACTACTTTTCACCTCGTACTCGAACTCCGGACGCCACGATGGTGATGATGATATACCATTTACTATAACTGTTTCCTCAAAAATCCCCTAATGGCCTTACACGTGTGAAATCTAGATGCGGACGTGTCACTTACTTTGCTGAAAATTCCACTTGGATTTCGAGGTCACCGACTCATCTCCATTAAGAGCTTCAACCACCACATTCTTATCCTCCACAAAATCACCAGCCTCCACCGCTTCTCTCTGCTTCTGCTTAAACACCACAACGCTCTACTCCACCGCACCGAAATCCGATCTACTACTCTTCACCTCGTACTCAAACTCCGGACGCCACGATGGTGATGATGATACCATTTACTATAACTGTTTCCTCAAAAATCCCCTAATGGCCTCGCACGTGTGAAATCTAGATGCGGGCGTGCCACTTACTTTGCTGAAAGTGAGAAAGGAAGACCTTCCCGATGACCATCTTTTTCCTCACGGTCGACCTCTTTGCAGATGGCGAAAAGAATGTTGAATTAAAATAAAATTTGCGCCTTCAGATGATTTGCCAGAGGGAGGGACACCTTCCTGCAGAATGGGTTACGAAATCTGCCTTGGACAACTCCAAGGACTTAAAACACTACCGTGACTTAAAATTAACAAATCTTAATTATTCTAAATTACCTGCAATTTAAACTATGTTTGTGAGGAAGAAATGTACCCAAATTAAATTAAACATACTTATGGTAAAATTAAAATGCTATCTATTAACAGATTTGGAAGTTAAATTGCTGCAGAATTGGAAATTTAACCCTAATTAGCACTAAAATTAAACGAGAACAGTGAATAAATTGAAGAACTTGAAGTTGGAAAGAAGCATGAAAGCCACATAAGGAAGCATGAAAGCCACATAAGTAATCATTGAAGCAATGCTACTTAAAATAAACACTAAATTAATTACAGACAAAAAATGAATAGTACTTGGAAGAAACTTGAAATGTTGAAATTCATTGTATGAAGTGAAACTGATGTAGCAAGTACATAAATTAAATTGTCTACTGAAATGATGAAGAACACCCTAATTATATTGGAATCTGTGTTGAAATTCGAAATCTGGAAGCATGTGCAGAGAAAATAAAGTCTGAAAATTTGCAGATGTTTGAGTAGGGCTGATCGTGTGTTTTCCCTTCCAAAATTTCCTTTTTGTTCTTCTTGTGCTGGTAGTAACTTCCACTTTCTGCAGTTACTCAATCATGGGTGGTTTTTTGAAATAGTGGGACACCTCACCTTTTGACCTAGTCTAATCCCTTTTCAGATTTCGCCACCTGTACTCTTATCAGATAAACCCCTTTTTTAACTATGATCTTCTCCTATTTTCCAGCTGCCATTATCCCTTTCTGTTTCAAGAAGATAATTACTCCATAAAAAATTATCTTTACCTCACCTATTTTGCCAACACAAGTGCTGATCTGTTATGGGATCTAGAATCCAAATCTGGCATGGCTCAAACTCCTTCAACCAATAAAAAATATTTTACACGTGACATTAATTTAAAATTTTACAATTTATGATGTAAACAATGCCTCCACGCTTGATTTTATAAAGATAAATTCAAATGTTTTAATTAAATAAATTATCTCCCACACCATAATTACTTATGCCACATGTCAAATTTTCTTTAAAAGCTACTTCACAAATATCTCTTGGAGCAATTTTCTAGATAAATCCCAGTCACTCCTTTTCAAAACTTATTTAATTTTCAAAACCCAAAAAGTAAGGAAAAGTCAAACTTACTTTAATCCTTTCCTTTTCCTTTGGTTATTGCCAGCTGCCCTCTTCTTTTTTTTTTTTTTTTATTATTTGCAAAAGGTAAGGAAAAACCAATTTTACTTTTACCTTTCATCTTCCCCGGTACCTCATCACTGCATCACTGCCTCACCATTGGCTTTTTCCTCTTCCTCTTTGCTTGGTTTACCGTCGGCTGCTTCCTCCATTTTGCTTTTTCTTCACCCAGATCCACTCCATTTTTACATCTCCTTTAACCTTCAAAGAAAACTCCAGTCACTGCCGGCTCCACTCTTTCATTTTTTTTTTTATTCTTCCAGATCTATTCCCACCAAAATCAACAACCGATTTCCTTCAGCCTTGCAAGATTTATTGCCGGTTGCTCTCTCTTCCTTTGCTTGTCCAAATCTGCTCCCATACTCAGTGGTCCCCCCGGAAACTCTTCTTGCTTCACAGGTAGCTATCGGCTATTTTTCTTTTACACTTTATTTACAAAAACCTGTCTTGCTCATGTTCGGTGGCCCATTGCCGAAAATCCTCCTTGTTTGTGACTGTTGGCTGATTCCCTTTCTTTTTTTTTTTTTTTAATATCTGCATGCAGATTTCTTCTCATGTCCGGTGATTCCATCGAACCACCTTCCCCTGTCAAAGTTGCTTCTATGGCCGGTGACCAAGAAGAGCAATCCATGCCCACCAGATCTGCTTCAATGGCCGGTTCTAAGGCCACTCATTGCTTGAAATCACCTCCTGCAGATTTGGTTAAACTCTTTCAAACCCAAAATCTCCAAGATGGCATAAACCGGGTACTTCAACAACAGAAACCATGCCATTCAAATCAAACTTTTGTTCCTCATAAAAAATCCCAGATTTTGGGTCCATATTTTGTGTCTCATCCGCCAACTTCTCTTGCCTCCATTTACCCACAGCCCAAAGAACATCTTCTCCCTTTTCAAGTAAAACCTGACTGGAGTAAATGGGTTAGATCTTTTGGAGCTTGGCCAGCTTGGCGTAAATCAGAATTGACTGACTGGATAAATCGTCTGGAACCTGCTTTTGGCCAAATTTGGAGAGATGCGGGTTTATTTGAATTTATACAACTCACCAAATGCAAGTTCATCATGGACAAGCCAGTCTTGGGTTCGGCTTTGTTATTTTGGTCTGTCTTTTTCAATTGTTTTCATTTTCCCTGTGGAGCCATGTCTGTCAGCCTTTTTGATGTCAGTTCCTTAACCGGATTGCCCTGCACTGGAGAAAAATTTCAGCATTATTAACCCTGCCTCCAAGTGTTGAGTACCATGCAGAGTTGAAGCCTTCTTATCCGGCTTTTGTGAGATCTGCCTATGATAAAAGTAAGCCTGTCAGTGCTGATGAGCATATTTCATTTTTGCTTATTTTAATTTGCAAATATATAGTGTGCTCTGCCGGTAAAGGTCTCACTAAAGAGTTTATTCCCTTAGCTGTTGCTTTAGCACATGGTAAACAATTGGCTCTAGGTCCTTTTTTGCTTGCTCATTTGTACAGGAGTTGCCAAGATATCACGGCTCACCCCTTAGTCATTAGTGGTGGGCCGCTTTGGGTTTTGCAGTTATGGCTGTATTCTTATTTTCCGGCACTCGCTCCTGTCTCATCTGCTGTTCCAGCCCGAGATCTGCTCACTTACGGTTTCATGTTCAAGAATGCCATGGAGAACAAGAGAAGCTTTGAGGAGTGCCTCTAGTTTTTTGCTTCTCTTTCTGTCGATAGACCTGATGCAGACTTTGCTGTGTTTCTAGGCAGATCTCACGGTCCTTCATGGTACAGGGCCAATGTCAAATCCCCAGATTTTCGAGCATTTTGGTCTGTTTGTGTGGCCTCCCGGGATCTGTTTGTTGGCTGTAGTTTGAACACTCTCAACTCCAGATGTGGCGTGGAGCTCTATGCACCGAATCAGTTCTGCCGGCAGCTAGGGTACTGCCAAGATATACCATTCCCGCCACTATTCTCCTTCAACCACAGCTATCCTCTTCGGTTTATGATTGAGGATTCAAACATTTTGATCGCCAAGCTTGCTGACATCACAAAGACTTTGTAGACATTGATCTTGCCAGACCCTCCATTCCGACCGAACTGCACTTCCTCCTACAGAAGTTGGTGGCGAGACTACTTCCATCCTCGGTTCCTCAGTGCTATGGACAATATTTCTGCTCTTGCTCCTCCACCACTCACCAAAAAACTTGAAGAAAAGAAAGTTGTAAAGGAAAGTGAAGACTTGGAATCTGCCATGGCCGCCCAGATCAGCAAGCCAGATCTGCCAAGGAGAGCTCCCAAAACTCAAGTCAAAAGGAAAATTGCTACTCCTGCAGATTCCACGAAAGAAATTACTCCCTCCAAGCAGCGAAGAACCGGAGGTAAATCCGCTTTAGCTTACAACTTTGTGACATATTCTCTGCTAACACCCTTTTTTTTCTTTTTTTTCTTTTTTTAGGGATCAAGAGGTCAGCAGTGAAACCATCTGCAGCCAAGAAACTTATCAAGTCTACCTCTCCCTCGAGGTCCACTTCTATCACGGAAACCGAGATTCAACCTGATAAAACAGAAGGTGTTTCCCTCGGTCCTACTGCCACAACAGACCCTGTTGAAGACATATCTGCTGAGAGTGGTGAAAGCAATTCTGACTCCTCTCGTACCAATTCTGGCGATGGTTCTTCAGCCGCCACAAAGGTTAGGGGTTCTAGATTCTTTTCTCACATGGCGAACAAAAGCTTTAAAATAGTTAGACCGAATGAACTCATCAATCTAAGCCCAGACAAAGAGAATATCCCTACACCCATAGCCTCTCCTGTTAGGCATGTTCATGTTAATGACATTGAGGTTGTTTCACTGTTCTAAAATCTGCTTAGATCTTGAAATCTGTCACCATATCTGCTAGTTGTTATTTTTGATCTTTTGTCTCCACATTTGTAGAGTGTTGCTGCTGATGTGCTTATGATTGATGATGATTTAGAGGATGAACTTCTTGCCCAGCTGGACATGTTGATGGATCCTCCGGTTAAATCTGGATCTGCCACAGATAATAAAGGGAAGGCTGTTGCTGAAGAAGCGAATTTTGATATCAATCTCCCTACCCAAGAGCAGATTAGCTTTGCTATTATGATCATGCAAGAGCTCCTTGATGGTGATCCTTCTCATTTCTGCAAAGTGCCGGACCAGCCAGCCGCCTTTGAAGCGGCTCAGATCCTTAGTCGAGCTCCACAATTATCATCTACTCAACAAAAGTTCTGGGCAGACTTCACCACCATTTATACACACTTCAGCAAGAGATTCCCGGTACTTGAGAGCAAAATAGCGGCTGCAGCATCTGTGAGGAAATCTGTAGCGGATAGCACTGTCGTTGTCTTTAAGAAGAAGGAAGAATTCTTGGCAGCAAAGGAAGCTCATGTCACACAAGTTAAACATCTCCAAGAGCTTAAAGAAGAAATCTCTAACCTTGAAGCCAAGCTTTCAGAGTTAAGAAACCAGGTTCCTCTTGCGAAGCAAACTGAGAAGAGTTTGGCAGAACAAAGAAACAAGCTCGACGCGGACATGGAAGCTGGTTTGAAATCTACTGCTAAGATCAAGGACCAGCTACCTCCTTTCACAGCCTCTTCAGATGAAGCCGCTGAAGAAATCAAGAACATGAGAGAAGAATGGAGTACTTGGCAAAACAACCTTTGTTGATTTTTCTTCTATGTATCTCTTTGTCTCTTTGTTGGTTGAAATTGCACATTGTCATGTTTGAACTTATTGTTTGCGGCCTATTGGCCATGCAAACTTCTTTTTCAATGTTGATCTCTTTCTTGGCTCATATTCTGGAAATCTGCTTCTTGTACTTTTTGTTCATACTCTGGTACAGGTTGAAATTTGTCATGGCCGAAATCTAGCCGTTGTGGTTGTTCACAGCTAGATTTGGCCTACCTACAGATTCGGCTCAGCACTTTTTATTGAATGATAAAATGCTTAAAACAATGAAATAAAATACTGTACAAATCCTACCTCAAATTTGTCTCAGGTAGAATTAATAGTATTCAAACCCCTAGCCTCCCATACCATGGGATAGCAAGGCTTAAGGTAGATTCTATTTATTTTTCGAGGATGTAACTCTCCATTTAATGATTCAAGCCAATATGCTCCTCCTCTAAGCACTTCATGTATACGAAATGGTCCTTCCCAATTTGGAGACCATTTCCCAAATCTAGGGTCTTTCTTTCCAGGTGGCAGAATTACTTTCCATACTAGATCTCTTACTGCCAGACTTCTGGATTTCACCCGTTTGTTGTATGCTCGAGCCACTTTTAATTTCTGTGTTTGCAGCCTATTTAAAGCCATCAATCGCATACCTTCAAGGTCTTCTAACTCTAGAATCAGTGCTTCATTATATTCTCCAAAAATGAGACCATGTTGAATTGCTATACGCAATGATCTAGCAGACAACTCCATGGGCAGAACAGCATCATGTCCATAAGTTAAAGAGAATGGAGTTACCTTGGTAGAACTCCTTTGTGAAGTTCTGTAAGTTCAGATTGTGTTAGATAACAGCTCATGCCAACATCTTGGATTATCATCAACCATTTTTTCCAACAGATTTATCACAATTCTGTTGGAAGCTTCAGCTTGACCATTGGCTTGAGCATAATGAGGGGTTGAAGTGAGTAACCTAAATCCCATTTCTTTTGCAAACGCTTCAACTTGTGCACCAACAAAAACTGTTCCCTGATCTGAAGTCACTGTTTCTGGCGAACCGAATTTGTGAATGATTTCTTCCTTAAGAAATTTAATAATATCGGTGTGATCAACCTTCTTCATTGGCTTTGCTTCCACCCACTTGGTAAAGTAATCTGTGGCAACAATAATGAATAAATGCCCTCTAGTTGAAGGAGGATAAACTTTACCGATCAAATCTATGGCTCATCCTCGAAATGGCCATGGTTTGACGATTGGATGGAGTTCTGACGCTAGAACTTTCTGCAGTGGTCCATGAATCTGGTAGGCTTTGCAACCTTTAGCATAGCTGATGCAATCTTTCAAGATCGATGGCCAAAAGAATCCATGTCTACGAATTAGTCATCTCATCTTAATTCCAGCTTGGTGTGCACCACAGATTTCGTTATGCACATCTGACATAATCTGGCAGTACTCATCCGGACCAAGACAGCGCAGAAGTAATTCATCATGTCCTCTTCTATAAAGAACACCTTCCAACGAAACATAATTCAAGGCCTGCATTTTTGTTCTTCTTGAGACCTTAAAATTTGGATTTTTGAGGTATTCCATGATTGGATAACGCCAATCTGTCTGGGTTACGTCTATGGAACAAGCAGAAATTACCATACCACGCATGTGAATAGATGGTAGAATTCATTTTTCCACAACAACAATTCTGCTCATTATGCCTTCTGGGATTTTTAAGCATGAGGCAATTTGTGCCATCTCATTTGCTTCTGTGTTCAGATCTCGAGTAACATGCCTCAAGATTACATCATCAAATTCCTCCAAAAGCTATACTGCCAAAGCAAAATAAGGCGCCAAAGACAAACTAGTGCACTTGTACTCACCTTCTAATTGCTTTAAAATTAATTGTGAATTACCAATTATTTCTACCACAGGTACCTTGAGCTCTACCAACACTTCCAATCCAATAATCAACGCCTCATATTCAGCTTGGTTGTTGGTGCAATTGAAATCTAGTTGAAATGACATGGGTTTTCAAACCAGTGGGAGAAATAATAACAATTCCTGCTCCAGACATGGAATCTGTGCTAGATCCATCAAAGATAAGCTTCCAAGGAACCAGATTTATGGAAAATAAATTAATACCTTTTTCCTCATCCGCTTCTACCTCCAGGCACAGATGATCTGTTAGGAAATCTGCCAAAGCCTGCCCCTTGACAGCTTTTTGAGGCATGTACTTCAGGTTGAATTTTGACAAAGCCAGAACCCATTTCCCAATTCTGCCTCCGACAGTGGTTGAGACAATATGTACTTTATCACATCAATTTTCGAAATAACATAAACCTCGAAATAAAGCAAATAATGCCTCAATTTTATTGCAGCAAAAAACAAAGCAAGACATAATTTTTTGACCGAAGAATATTTCACTTCGGTCTATAATAGACTTCGACTTAAATAATAAATAGCTTGTTCTTGCTTTTTACGATTTTCTTGAGCCAGCAAACAACCTACAGATTCATCTGCGGCAGATATGTACAAAATCAAAGGTTTATCTCTTAAAGGAGGCACTAAGACCGGCGGCTTTGATAAATAATGCTTTATTTCCTCAAAGGCGGTCTGCTGGTGTCTCTCCCATTTGAAATCTGCTTCTGATTTCAGCTTCAGCAGTGGCGAAAAAACTCTGGTCTTTCCTGCCAGATTTAAGATAAAACGTCTTAGAACATTTACTTGCCCAAGGAATCTTTGTAATTCCTTCTTACTTCTTGGCGGCTGTGCTTCAATAACAGCTCTTGCCTTGTTCTGATCCATTTCCAAACCTCACTCATGCACCAGATATCCTAGAAAATTTCCAGCAAAAACACCAAATGCACATTTTAAAGGATTCATCTTCAGACCATGCTTTCTCATTCTTTCAAAAGCCAGCTTTAAATGCTCCAGATGTTCTTCATCTTCATTAGATTTCACAACCACATCATCAATATAAATTTCCATAAAATGACCAATCATGTCATGAAAGATGGCATTCATGGCTCTTTGATAAGTTGCACCCACATTTTTTAAACCAAATGGCATTACCACCCATTCATACGTACCAATAGCTCCTAGGCAGCGAAAAGCAGTCTTTGGAATGTCCTCTTCTGCTATAAAAATCTGGTTGTATCCACTGTGGCCATCCATGAATGACAGGATTCGGTGGTGTGCTGCACCATCCACCAATAAATCTGCAATAGGCATATGATATTCATCTTTTAGTGTTGCCAGATTCAGATTTCTGAAGTCTACACAGATTCTCAACTTGCTATTCTTTTTAATCACATGAACCACATTAGATAACCATTCCACATATCTGGAAGTTCTCATGAAACCAACCTTCAACAGCCGCTCTATCTCTTCTTTCAGTTTTAAGGTGACTTTTGGAGACATTCGTCTAGGCGGCTGTTTAAAAGGCTTGAAATCTTCTCTGATTGATAATCTGTGCTCCACCAGATTTCTGTCCAGACCTGGCATTTCAGAATAGTCTCAAGCAAAACAGTCTTTGTAGTCACGCAAAATATTGATAATTTTATCATGCAAACATGGCTCAAGAAAACCGCTAATAAAAGTAATTTTCGGATCTGGCTCAGTACCCAGATTTACCTCCTTCAGGGGATCTTGTACTTTTGCCTTCAAATCATCAAGTTTTGCTGGTGCTAGATCTAATTCCTCCAAAGTTATTTGATCCTTCAAGTGTTCCTCTTCACCTTCATAGACTACTTTAGATCTGTCTACACAGATCCGTTTTTCAGCAAGGTAAGCCACTAATTTTCTCTTGATTTCTTCCACGGCCTCCTTTTTCTGGTGCTTAATTCGATCTTTCTTCATGGAATTTCTTCGATTTCAGGTTCCTCCCTCGGCCTAAAAGGAACAATTGCTGTAAGCCGAAGTAGTTCATCACACACCTCCTTCACAGTCTGTCTGTCCATTGCAGATCTGGTGCAGGCAGTAATTCCAGAAGGTCTGCCATAGCGGTCCATCCCAAAGAAACGGCTAGTCCCAATATCTTCATCATAATAATGAGCTTCCACTGCATTGGTATTTGCCACGAACGGCTTGTCATCTGCTTTCACGACTTCAGTTCTGCCACCATTCCAGAATATCAATTTTTGATGCAAAGTTGAAGGAACATACCAGCTGAAATATATCCAATCTCTCTCAAGCAATGCATTATAAGTGGCAATGGTGTCAACCACGAAGAATGCACACATGAGAGTTCTATTTCCAATAGTAAGTTATACTGGCAAAATTCCCCTTGAGCGATTTACTCCACCAGTAAAGTCACTGATTGTCACTTCTGTCTCCATTAAATCACCCAAAGATTTGCCAATTTTGTGCAGAATACAAGTTGGCAAAACATTGACAGCTGCTCCATTATCAACCAGAACTCGATTTATTGGCATACCATCTAGATGTGCATGAATGTATAATGGCCTGATATGTCTGGCCATCCTCTCTTCTGATTTTTCGAAAATGATTTTATCTGCTGAGTCCATACCACCATCTTCCTCAACTGGGATCTCAATGACTTCTTCTCCTTAATCAAATCTGTCTGGTGACAGACTGCAGATTCTGGCTGCTCTCTTGCTTGAAAGACCAAAGGAAGAGTGATCACCAAGCAAGATAGATTCACGGAAAACTCACCAAAACAGATTACATCTGATGAATTTTTCGGTTCATCTGACATATCAAATTTAGCCTTCAAACCAGTTTCTTCATTTGATTCCACAGCCAGAACTCGAGGTGATGTTGGACTTTTAGGTGGTTCCTCCTTTTCTGGAGAATTCTGATTAGATGTGCTCCCTTTTACTTTATGGACCCACACTGATTTTCTTCTTGCTGGGAGCGGCTGTGCCTGATCTGCCATGCCCCCCGAGTCTGTAATCTGTTGTCGGTGTCTTTCTGCAGTCCTTTTGCCTCCTCAAGGTCCTTGGGTTTTGACCCTTAGGAAATTTTGGATGCACCACAAGTTCCCATCGTTTGCTTGGAGATCTGGGTGGTGGTTTCACCATTCTGGGCTTTTCTGTGCGTCCAGATATCGCAGTTCCCTGATTTGCATTATTTTTCTATTGAGTTGAGTTGTGCCCCCGAGCTGTCTCCTTCGATATGAGCTTGATCTGACCTAATTTCTGCGGGCCCTGGCCACCTCAATGACCCACCTCAGATCATCAGCTGCAAGTCTGCACCTATAGTATGTCTGAATTCTGTCCCTGGCAATGCTTCTGAGATCTGCTGCATTCACCCCAACAGACATGGTAGGGAATGGATCTGCATCAACTCCCATAGTTTCTTTGGCTTTATCTGGAAAACACAGAATTCCCTTGTCAATTTTATCCTGTAAAACATTTCGAAAAATCACACAATCATTAGTGGAATGTTTCCAAGAATTGTGATATTTGCAATATTCTTTATTTCCAATTTCGCCAGCCATTGGGATTTTATGTCCCGGCAGCAACTTAATTAGACCACTCTTTTTAAGGTGGTCAAAAATTTTATTAGTTTTTGAAATGTCAAAGGTGTATTGTTTTCTAGCCTCTCCGACATAACGTTTTACTGTTTTGTTGGTCTGTTGGGCCACTTTAACCAAATCTGGGCAAACAACTGGCTTGTCTGCCACCACTTCTGCCACGTTCAGATCAAAGTTAACATCACCATAATAAGTCCCATGAGATGCAGATTTCCTTTGTGTGTCATCTTGCAATAAATTTTCATAATGAGCCACCTTGTAAGACAACTCAAAGAAATCACGAAACTCCATTCCCTCAAACTTTTTCCTCAATTCAATGTCCAGACCTTTTTGTTCCAACTTGACAAATTCCTGTTCTGGCAAGGCAACTCTGCACGTAAGTCTGGCTTTCCGAAATTTGGCCAGAAAGGCCTCAGATGTTTCTCCAGGTCGCTGCACCAGACGAGATAAATCTGCCATGGACACTTTTGGCTCACTACGGTAGAACTGGATGTGAAAAAGATCTTCCATCTGCCTCCAAGTATAAACTGAATTCTATGGCAGACTTAGATACCAGGTGAGAGCTGTACTAGTTAAAGAACTAGGAAAAAGTCTGAGCTTCAGATTATCATCACTGGAGGCCTCGCCACACTGAATTGTGAAGCGGCCTATGTGTTCAATTGTAGAATATCCACCATCTTTAGAAAATAGAGTGAATTCTAGAACCTTAAACCCCCTTGGAAAAGGATTTTCTTGGTCTATGAAATCTGGATATGGTTTTCTGTAAGCTGGTTTGACTAGAGGTCTCAAAACTAGACCATAAGCCTCCTGCACCATGTTGATGATCTGATCACGATTGATGTACTGTCCTGGCAGATTTTGAAGATTTTGCTGCACGAGTGGCACATAAGGCTGAAAATGCTCACTTAGTGGAGGTGCATTATGTTGTTGATGTCCTCCATTCGGTCGGCGCGGAGGTGGCAAATATCTAGGCTGTTGGTGATTGCCCAGTTCTGCTGCACATGGTGCTGCCTCAACAGGATCTGGTTGGACTGGTCTGCCTGCTGCCTGCTGAATCTGAGGAGGTGGCTATGGCAGATTGACTTGCCCCCCGAGTGCTGGAGCTGGAATATTCTGATTATGCCTTTGAAAGTCTGCTGCTTGTGGCTGAGGATCAATTCTGGCACGTCGAAATGCCTCCTGCATTCGTTTTGTTTCAGCTTGAAAAGCTCTCCAATTTTCTGCATTTTGCTCGCGCCAGATTTTGGAACTTTCTTCATTGGAGCGTCGTATGTCGGCCATACTTTGAGCTACACTTTGGGCCAAATTTTGAGCCAGATTCTGAAAAGACTCATCCAACTGTCTAGCAACCTCTTGGCTTCTTTGTTGAGCTTTCTCCTCAGATTCCAATAGTGTGTGCCTCATGATGCTAATCTGATCTGACACAGCTTTCATAAGAGAATCACCAGATTGAGCAACATCATCTCCAGATTCACTATCCTTGTTGAAGGTAGGATTGACAAAAGAATGCTCCCCAAATATTGGTGACAATGGTGGTGGAATGATTGGCTCATTCTCTCCTTTTGAGTGTGCTGGACTACCTTCACCAAGACCAATCTGTAAAGTCTGGGCAGCTTTCCCAACGTTTCTTTTTGGTGGCATAATTGCACTTGTTCTTGGAAAAAAGAACAACGAATATGAAAACTGTAAGTAAGACACGATGATGTCCCACTGGGCGTGCCAAAAAAGGATTGCTTCCTCAAAAATCCCCTAGTGGCCTCGCACGTGTGAAATCTAGATGCGGGCGTGCCACTTACTTTGCTGAAAGTAAGAAATGAGGACCTTCCCAATGACCCTCTTCTTCCTCACGGTCGACCTCTTTGCAGATGGCGGAAAGAACGTTGGATTAAAATGAAATTTGCGCCTTCAGACTATTTGCAAGAGGGAGGGACACCTTCCTGCAGAATGAGTTACGAAATCTACCTTGGACAACTCCAAGGACTTAAAACACTACCGTAACTTAAAATTAACAAATCCTAATTATTCTAAATTACCTACAATTTAAACTATGTTTGTGAGAAAGAAATGTACCCAAATTAAATTAAACATGCTTATGGTAAAATTAAAATGCTATCTATTGACATATTTGGAAGTTAAATTGCTGCAGAATTGGAAATTTAACCATAATTAGCACTAAAATTAAAAGTGAACAGTGAATAAATTGAAGAACTTGAAGTTGGAAAGAAGCATGAAAGCCATGTAAGTAATCATTGAAGCAATGCTACCTAAAATAAACACTAAATTAATTACAGACAAAAAATGAATAGTACCTGGAAGAAACTTGAAATGTTGAAATTCATTGCATGAAGTGAAACTGATGTAGCAAGTACATAAATTAAATTGTCTACTGAAATGATGAAGAACACCCTAATTCTACTAGAATCTGTGCTAAAATCCGAAATCTGGAAGCATGTGCAGAGAAAATAAAGTCTGAAAATTTGCAGATGTTTGAGTAAGGCTAGCTGTGTGTTTTCCCTTCCAAAATTTCCTTTTTGTTCTTCTTGTGCTGACATTAACTTCCACTTTCTGCAGTTACTTAATCATGGGTGGTTTTTTGAAGTAGTGGGACACCTCACCTTTTAACCTAGTCTAATCCCCTTTCAGATTTTGCCACCTGTACTCTTATCAGATAAACCCCCTTTTTAACTGTGATCTTCTCCTATTTTCTAGCTGCCATTATCCTTTTTGTTTCAAAAAGATAATTACTCCATAAAAATTATCTTTACCTCTCCTATTTTGCCAACACAAGTACTGATTTGTCATGGGATCCAGAATCTGAATCTTATATGACTCAAACTCTACCAACCAATGAAAAATAGTTTATACCTGGCATTAATTTAAAATTTTACAATTTATGGGGGTAAACAATAACATACTGAAACGGCGGCCGGCGCCAAGAAGCCACCGAAATGGCCTGTGTTAGGCAGAAAAATTAGGGTGTAGGAGAGGATAATTTCATTAGTAGTTCAATGACTTCTGCCAAGGCCCGTTTTATAGCTGGTTTTCATTTCAGTCTTTGCTCTTTAGCCAGTGTTTCTCCTTTTACCCCTGGATTTCGTTTCAGTCCTTGGCCGACCTTATTCCTTCGCTCGCATCTCGGATTCGTACCACCATGTGCGACGGCGGCTCTAGGGTTTAAGCGTCTGCGGAATTGAATCACTGTTTCCTAATTTTCGATCAGGTCATATCTCTACCTTTCTGAGAAGGTTTTAGGGCTTTTTTTTTTCTGCTCTCATGTCGATCTCAAAAGAACTTTATCCATCTCAAGAGGACCTCCCCTACGAGGAGGAGATCTTACGCAACCCTTTTAGTCTGAAGTTGTGGTGGCGTTATCTGATTGCTAAGGCAGAAGCTCCCTTCAGTAACCGTTTCATAATCTATGAACGCGCACTTAAAGCTCTTCCTGGTAGCTACAAGCTATGGCATGCGTACCTGCGAGAACGCCTTGAAATTGTTAGAAATCTACCCGTTACTCACCCCAAGTATGACACCCTTAACAATACGTTTAAAAGAGCTCTTGTTACAATGCAGAAGATGCCCAGGATATGGATAATGTACTTGCAAACCCTGACAGAACAGAAGTTGATTACTAGAACGCGTAGGACTTTTGACAGGGCTCTCTGTGCGTTGCCAGTGACTCAGCATGACAGGATTTGGGAGCCTTATTTGGTGTTTGTGAGCCGAAAAGGTATCCCTATTGAGACCTCACTGAGGGTTTATAGGAGGTATTTGAAGTATGATCCTTCTCACATTAAAGATTTCATTGAGTTTTTGGTGAATTCAAGTCTTTGGCAAGAGGCTGCGGAGAGGTTAGCTTCTGTTTTGAATGATGATACCTTTTCTTCAATAAAAAGGAAGACAAAACACAGACTGTGGTTGGAGTTGTGTGACCTGCTTACAACGCATGCTACGGAGGTTTCGGGGCTAAATGTGGATGCAATAATTAGAGGTGGGATACGGGCGTTTACAGATGAGGTAGGAAGGCTATGGACTTCACTTGCTGATTATTACATTAGGAGAAGTTTGTTTGAGAAGGCTAGAGATATTTTTGAGGAGGGTATGACAACAGTAGTAACTGTGAGGGACTTTAGTGTAATATTTGATGCTTATTCACAATTTGAAGAGAGTGTGATTGCTTACAAGATGGAGAGTTTGGATTTAAGTGATGAGGAAGAAGAGGACATACAAGAAGAAGCGACTGAGGAGGATGAATATATTCGTTTGGATGTTGATCTGTGCAAGTCAAAACACAAGTTCGAGGGGAAAATATTTAAGGGGTTTTGGTTGCATGATGACAAGGATATAGATCTGAGGTTGGCTCGGTTGGAGCATTTAATGAACAGAAGGCCAGAACTTGCCAATAGTGTCCTTTTACGTTAAAATCCGCATAATGTGGAGCAATGGCACAGGAGGGTAAAGATTTTTGAGGGTAGCCCAACCAAACAGATTTTGACATACACAGAAGCAGTGAGGACGGTTGATCCCATGAAAGCAGTTGGGAAGCCTCATACCTTGTGGGTTGCTTTTGCTAAATTGTATGAGAACCACAAAGATATAGCTAATGCTCGAGTGATTTTTGACAAGGCAGTGCAAGTAAACTACAAGACTGTGGATCATCTGGCTAGCATTTGTTGTGAGTGGGCAGAAATGGAGTTGAGGCACAAGAATTTCAAAGGGGCCCTGGAGTTGATGAGGTGGGCGATAGCTGAACCATCAGTTGAGGTGAAACGAAGAGGTAATCCTTATCCTTCCTCATTTACTAGGACTTATGTTTCTGGTGTTTTATTGATTGGTATTAACTCACTCATTATGTTTAAATCATATGTCTAATAATTTAGATTGCAGTACTCTTTTTATTATGGAAACATACATCCCTAGGAAAAAGAAAGATTCTGTTTTTTCTCAATTAGCCTCTAAAATTACTTGCTAACAACACTGGGTTGGCATTATCAGGCAGGCTTTATTCGTCTCCAGTCTCTGGTATATGTTAAAATGGAAAAACATAAAGATGCTATTGCTATGTCAAGGATCTATGAGTTGTGGTGCATGTTATCTTTGTCCTTTTTTTTTTTTTT